AAAAAAATATATATATATATATACTAACAACAACAACAAAAAGCAGCTACCGTGTTGAAAGCAGCAGTATTGGAGGTAAAATAACACTTCATGAATTATAATTACTGGATAAATATAAAATCATGTACTGTAAAATCAACTACTGCAAAAAAAGCCTATACCATGGGAACTTAATCTGGATGCTGACCAGTCGTTTTATATTCAGCTGTGAGTGATGTGACTACTGCCCCCTTGTGATAGTAACAGGTATGTGAAAAAAAATGGTAAGTCCTAGGACACTTTAATGAACTGTATTGACTGAACTATGCCATGTATCATCTTCTGTGTTATTAAAGCTATTGTTATATCTTATTTTCATTAGAAAACCATCCCATGATAATGGATCATGTAGAGAAGAACGTTAAGAAATGAAAATATAGTGAGGATTCCCACTCCCCTACCCCCCCACCCCCGCTAGGGTAGAGCGCGCAAGTAGTCTCCGACTACCACAAATTATGCAATCGAGTTTCCCACATTTGGGGAAATCGCAGGGGTCAGCACATCTGGAGTGCAATGGATAAGCCTTCCCCTGGGTGAACCACCTTCGCGATCATGGTATCCCCCGCCAGGTAAGTATTGAGGATTTTTTACAGTATGGTCTTTTTGGTAGCGAGCATCTAAGCTTTGCCGGCAAGGATACCAACTATTTTAGAAGCAAAGCTTATGGACTCAAGAAAGCCAGACTTGACACAGTGGCAAGTACCACCAACAAAACATAGCAGCCATTGAAGCTTCATATTCGGTGGTACTCAGAATCGCCAGAGCTATGGAACCTGCTGCATTGCTGAGGATTTACTGTTGCCAGTGGCCAAAGACATTCTTAGAGTTATGATCGGAGACAAATTTGTTATGAAATTGAGTGCAATTTCCTTATCTAACGATGCTGTCTGAAGAATAGATGACATGTCTGCTGATATTCTTGATCAGGTAACCCAGGAAATTAAATCTGCTCCACTTCCAATATTTAGCATTCAGATTGATGGATCTATAGACATTGCAAACTGTTCAGTTACTGGTTTACATGAGGTGTATTAATGATGGCGACTTTAAAGATGAGTTTCTTTTTTGCAAACCTCTTGAACAGACAACTACTACATGTGATATATTTGACACAGTTGGTTCATTTCTGAAAGGGCATAAGAACTCATGGGAAAAGATTTATGGTGCTTGTACAGATGGTGCTCCAGCTATGCTAGGATGGTGATCTGGATTTCAATGTTTGGTACTGAATGAGTCACCAAAAGTCATCGGGACTCACTGTATGATTCATTGGCAAATATTAGCAATGAAGACGCTGCCACAAGAGTTACAAGAAGTAATGAAAAGCGTCATAAGTTCTGTCATTTTGTAAAGGCGAGCACTTTAAACAGTCGACTGTTTATGCAACTGTGCAATGAGTTAGATGCCCCAAATAATGCTCTACCATCTCACACTGAAGTGAGATGGTTGTAGAGAGGAAAAACTTTAAAACATGTTTTTGAACTTCGTGATGAACTCAAAACGTTTTTTAATCAGAAAGCAAGACCGCAGTTCGAAACACTTTTCAGTGTTAAAAGTGAATTGCAGAAAATAGCTTACTTGGTTGACATCTTTGCCATCTTGAATGAGTTATATCACTGCAAGGCCCAAATGCAACATGCCTCAATTTGCCTGAAAAGATCTGATCATTCCAAATGAGACTTCAGCTTTGGTAAAAAAAAAAAAATTGGATGAAATAAAATTTACATGTTGCCTATCTTATCTGCTTTCTTTGTGGAACATGACATTGAACCAAACAAAAGGATTACATGGATAATTTATGTGAAAGAACACTTGCACATGCTTGCAGACGAAATTTCATCATACTTTCCAAATCTACCTGACACCTCATTTGCACTTGCTGAAGCCCATTCACAGTCAAAGTT